ATAGAGTTTCTCTACGGAAGCCAAAGACGGCTTGTTGGCTGTGCGGCGGCTGGCATTACGTGAGTGAATGTCCCTATCGTAGTAGGAAGTGCTACAAATGTTCCCGTGTTGGCCATAAAGCTTCACATTGCAGAGCAGCACAGACTAGCCCAAGAAGGAATTGCCATGTCGTTTTAGAAGACGATTCGCATGTACTCAACTGTGAACACCGGAAATACCTGACAGTGAAGATTAACGAAAATCCGATCACATTACAAGTAGACACGGCTTCTGATCTGACCATAATCAGCATGCGCACATGGGAGGACATCGGTTCTCCAGAACTGAGACCATCAGAGATCATAGCGTGGGCGTCGAACGAGACGCGTATGGAATTTGAAGGCGTTTTCCAGGCGACTGTCAGTTTTCGAAACATGACTTGCCTCGCAGATGTCTATGTGTCGAAGACCCGTAACAATCTTCTCGGAAATAAGACGATTTCCGAACTGGGATTGTGGAACCGTCCCTTTGACGAAATTTGCAGCGCGGTGTACAACACTACTTAGGAGGTCCTGAAGAATAAGTATATGGAACGCATGGAGAACGCGGCCGGCAGGTGCACGAAAACGAAGATAAGTTTGAAAGTGAAGCCGGAGAAAAAGCCAGTCTTCAAGCAGAGCCGACGAGTCCCGTTTGCGGTACAGTCGTCCGTAGAAGCTGAACTAGAAAGACTACAGGAAAAGGGCATAATCTATCCTACCAATTATTCAGCTTGGGCTGCTCCAGTCGTGGCGGTGAAGAAACCCAACGGACAAATACGATTATGTGCGGATTATTCAACGGGCGTGAACGACGCACTAGAAGATTATCATTACCCGCTGCCAACCTTAGAGCAGATTTTTGCTACTCTAAATGGAGGGAAAGTCTTTGCAAGGATCGATCTATCCGAAGCTTACTTGCAAATTGAGGTGGACGAGAAATCGCAGGAACTTTTGACCATTAATACGCACAAGGGTCTCTTCAGATACACTCGCCTAAACTACGGCGTGAAAACGGCGCCTAGTGTGTTCCAGCAGATTATGGATGCGATGCTTACGAATGTTCCCGGGACTATTGCATATCTGGACGATATTTTGGTTGTCGGTAAATCAGAGGAAGAGCTGACTCAAAGGCTGGACCAGGTTGTGGACAATCTGATCGACTACGGCCTTAAGATCAATATGGAGAAAAGTGAATTTTTGCGGAAGGAGATCCACTATCTCGGGTTCATAGTCAACGAGAATGGGCGTGCCCCTGACCCAGAGAGGGTGAAGGCATTCCAGAACATGAAAGTGCCGAAGAACACGAAGGAGCTGCAATCGTTTATGGGGTTGGTCAGCTACTACGTCTGTTCATCACTGGGTTGCACAGTTTAAAACCTCCACTCAGCCGACTTCTGTGCAAGGACGTGGAGTTTATTTGGTCACCAGAATGTCAAAAAGCATTTGATGCCATAAAGACAAAGATATGCGACTCAACTATGCTATCGCACTTCGAGGCTGACAAAGAAACCATTGTCCAGGCAGACGCCTCTGATTACGGTTTAGGCGGAGTGCTCCTTCAGAAGGACGCAGATGGGAGAGTACAGCCAATCATGCATGCCGCCAGGTCACTGACGAAGGCTGAACGGAATTATAGCCAGATTGAAAAGGAGGCACTGGCCATTATCTTCGCCGTACAGAGATTCCACCTGTTTATTTATGGCAGACCCTTCACACTGCACACTGATCATCAGCCACTGATGTTCCTTTTGGGTACTAACCGTGGTGTTCCCCAGAACGTGGCTAGGAGAATACAACGTTGGAGTACTATTCTTCAAAACTATGACTTTCAGATCCAATATGTGCCCACTCAGAAGTTTGGAGCTCCGGACGCTTTATCACGACCGAGTACAAGCAACGAAAATCAAGAAGACGTGGTTGTCGCCAGTACGCTAATGCAAGATGATGACGAGTTTAGAGGTGTCATCCGACAGTTGCCGCTCACAGCCGAGCACATCAGGGCCACCACTGCAGCAGACCCACTTTTGCGCCAGGTGAAAGAGTTTATTCGGAACGGTTGGCCCAGCGACGACAAAGTACACCCATCCATAAAGCCTTTCAGGAACAGAAAGGAACAGTTGTATATCACGGAAGACTGCATAATGTACGATGGTAAAGTGGTGATTCCAACCAGATATCAGCAACAAGTTTTGCGGGAGCTCCATGCCGGACATCAGGGTATGACCCGCATGAAACAACTGGCCCGCAAGTACGTATATTGGCCGGGAATTGATAACGACGTGGAATCTTTCGTTCGAAGCTGCGGCCCGTGTGGACGTGAGGCTAAGAACCCACCGAAAGTACCGCCCGTGCCATGGCCAGAGGTAACGAGACCTTGGAGTAGAGTCCATATGGACTTTGCTGGTCCGTTTTTCAACCGAATGTTTCTAATTGTTGTCGATGCATGGTCCAAGTGGCTAGAAGTTTTCGACGTCTCGGCAGCTACTGCTGATATCACGGCAAGGAAGACGGAAGAACTTATAGCGAGATACGGCATCCCCACGGAGATAGTGACGGATAACGGCACTCAGTTCACGTCATCAATCTTCCAACAACTGTGTCAGAAATGGGGAATTCGACATGTGACGTCACCACCATTCCATCCACAATCAAATGGCCAGGCAGAACGGTTCGTCGACACGTTCAAGAGAGCGATGAAAAAGATGTGGAACACTGGTGTTAAACTGGAGTATCTCAACACATTCCTCTTTGCCTATCGAACAACTCCAAAAAGTGATCTTGGGGGCCAGACACCAGCCGAACGGTTTTTGGGACGACAGCCGGATACGCGATTACAGTACCTACAACCGGAAGCTCGAGTTCCACAAACAACAAAATATTACTTTCGCGAGGGAGAGGAGGTGTTTGCTCGCAACCACAAAGCCGGAGAGAAGCCCTGGATAGAAGGTATAATAAGAAAATCCAGAGGTGTTGTGTTCGAGGTGGAGACAGCAGCTGGAAAAATAAAGAGGCATGCAAATCAGCTCAGGACTAGACACACCAGAGACAGTCAAATGGCACTCGACTTGCTGTGTGATACCTTTGAGGTTCCAACCCCCACGGTAGACAGTCAGACAACATTACCCGTCGTTCGTAGAAGTAACAGAAGAACGCAACCGCCAAGGAAACTGGTCTTGGACCCGAAGAAGAAGAGGTACGAGGTCCAACTTTCAAAAGCGGGAGGTGTTATGGAGAGCGAAAGCGGCGTAGAGCCACGGCCTAAGGCGCCAAACAAAGGACCAAGTCGGCGACGTGAGTCACGCGCGAAGTTAGACAACCGACCGGCGCGCACTGCAGCGCCGAGCACGCGTGGTGGTTTTGCTCACGTGTGCGGCCCAATCAATGGATGGCCGAACATTCCAGACGTTTCCCCGGCGGGGTCATCGCGCACGCGGTGGCCAATCAGCGACCAGCACGCTCGGGACAGGAACATTCTAGAACGCCCTCTATGACTGGCACGTCATTGGACGGAATGTTCCAGAACGCACGGGAGCCAATAAATAGCACACTTTCTTACGAGTTGTAACTCCCTCCTGTCCGCAAGTTCCAATAAAGTGCTTGTCCTCCGAACCGGCTCTCTTCCTGTCCTACCTTCCTACCGGGTCATAACAATTCAGTTGGAATTTATGTTCAAATTCTACATATCATGTGTTTTTTCGCTAAGCCTCGTGTAACCCCAGGGACTTCAAACCCCAAACGGTTTGAACACTCGACCTTATGCTTATTCGTTCTTCAAACATAAAAGAGAAAAGCATGTGGAAAATGGGAAACATGATTCTTCAAGTTTAGTGTTGCACTTTTCAAGCGTTCCATTGCCTTCACCCACCCCTTCCCCAGTTTTTATCAAGGCTTTTTTCTGTCGTACATTCCTACTGTTCTAACTGTTACTTTGTGGTACTATCGTGGTATTTGCCAACAACATTTCGCTTGCCCCTTCGTAGAGCCCTGCCAATCACTTTTAATGCTCCTTTACTTTTTATCAGTGAAGCCGTCTTAATTATTTTGTCTCTAGGCGATTCGAGCGTCTGTGGAAACCAGCTGAAATATCGTAGGCTACGAGTCTGTAACTAGTGAGACAACCATTTTTCCCTAAGTTCAGTTCATATTATTCGAGTGAAATTGTGATGTACAACTTTTTACTCTTAACTTATTCTAAAGAACGGAAAGGTGTATAAAACACTTCTTTATTTACAGGGACGCAATCCATTGTTCAGGTAGGGAAGGCTATCCTACTGAAAAAGCAATCAAGCGTTAACTACTGTCGCTTCTGACTTCCGAGGATCCTCCTTGGTTAGAGGTGAAATAGAAATTTGCGAGCTGTGTTGGCACAATTTGAGAATAATCAGCCACACACTGGTGGCTTTGTACCACATATAATATCGTCAGAATGTCCATATTTTCAAGAGGCATTTTATCCCACTACAAAGCCGGCTCGTTCGTCCCACCTACTTGTTGCCTTCGGGTGCCAAGCACTTCTTTGGCAGCGCTTTGCTCATAACTGCGACCATAGACCATCCTTGGGACCTGATTGGTCACGTTCTGCGAGAAATATTTCGGTTATTATTGCCCTTTTTGTAGAGAACTGGACACAATTCTAGAGAACTCAGGGAATGCTATAAGCGTACGCAATTTTCCTGTGAGAATGGATTGTAGGTGACAATTTATTTTTTCTTTGTCGTTTGTGTTTTTTCCAGCTGTTTTGGTGCCTTAGGACGAGTTCTAAGCGGACATATGGTTTGTGCTATTGAGGAGTAGTAGGAGGACCCATTGCAGAGTCCTATGCCATAACTTTTATGTATCTCGTCTGAAAGAGGGTTAGGGACTAGGATCAAGCTGCACACGCTCTCGCCTTTTAAGTTTTTTCTGCAGGTTTTGGCATTTCTATGCAGTTTGTGTATTGACGACCTTAGGAAAGCCTACGTATCGAATGACTGGGATAGAGGTCTGGTCACTCCCTCTTACCTTGTCCTGAAGTGACTGACAGGAAACTTTAACCATGGACTGCAAACTCTTGAATGAGACTGTCAAATAGAGCACATGTTATTCCCTGTGTCGGCACACATTTTTTACCTTCTGTCAACATGGTACCATCAACAAGTGTTTAAACATATGCATTTACTTAATTCGGCGGAAACAAAAGGCAGGAGGCTTCTTTAGCACCACGAGGCCCAGATCGTCTTTTTTGTCTTCCGTATGACTACTGACGCAGTTCATGAGCATTTGCTTGTTGAGAAATATCACTACTACGGTCCGGCAAATGACAAAGAGAGCACGATTGAAAGTTTCCTTCACAGAAAATTTGTGCATGAAATTTATAGTGTCACACACTCAAATCGGGAGTCCAAAGTTGGGTTTTGCGATAAACACGACTAAAGCGGACACCCTTTCCGATTTTCTTAAATTTCTGCCTACCCTGCCAACACCTGGCCACACCTTGTTTCCCAATTGACTACATGCACCAAGTCTGTCTCAGTATTATGCGGAAATTGTTGCATACGTGGCGACTTGGTTTTGGTGGCCACTCTGTGTCATTAAACGCATCTATTAAGCTATGCAGCCACTGTTTACCGACAGAGTTTTCACGCAAGTGTAGAACACTTGACTTCCTGGAGTTTTGGAAGGCTGCCGAATATCGGCAATTCCTCCTGTACATTGGCCCCGTTGTTTTGTCCCCGTATTTAGACGGACCGCGTTATAATCATTTTTTACAGTTTTCCGTGGCAGTGTCCATATTTTGCCACCCAACCTTGCATATATCTTGTGGTGATTATGGCCGCCAACTTTTGTGTAATTTTGTCTACAATTTTTACACATTTTATAAGCCATCTGATCTTGGTTACAATGTCTATTATCTACTGCACTTGAACGCTAACGTCGTTCGGTTTGGGGTGCTGAATAATTGTTCAGCATTTCCATTTGAGTCTTTTTTAAGACACGTTCGTGGTAGCATAAAAGGGCCCACTAACATAGCCGCACAAGTGTAGAGGCGTTTTTCGGAAAGACGCTTGTCTGAACAGTCTGCACGCCCTATGCTGTTGGACGACGACGAGGGAGTGCAACGGCCCTTTAATCTGCCCCATCAATCAACGGCTATCTTTCACAAGGGATATGTCCTTTCACTGAGCCACCCGACAATGTCGTACTCATCGGACATAGACCCTGTGCACTGACATCACTGTCGGGTAACAGCATAGTTTACTGCCCTTTCCGCGACTGTCGGGATCTTTTTTAACATCTCTTCATTCCATATACATTTAAAAAGCCACCGTTTTATCAGATACTCCGATCACTGGCTTACTCTTCGACATTATTTGCAAGTACGTGTCTTTTAAAGACAACAATCAGTATTACCTTATCCCCTCCTTCACACAACTACATTCCCGTTGTTTTAAATTTGAAGATAAGTGGAGGATATTATTTTTAGTGGTTTTTCTGTGAGATCTAACGATTTTAGTACCCGTTTTTTTTGGTTGAATTTCCTTAAATACAGGCCTTTTCTCTAAGAACTGCCCGCTGCCATCTCCTTTCGAGTTTTGCTAGTCTACGCCCGCTAATCACTAATCGCACTTTGCAATTCTCATTTTGTGCATCCGATTTCTCTCTAACTGTTGCAATTTATTTTTACATCGTTAGCCCCTAGCTGACATTCAGTCAACTTGTCTGCCAGAAGTTCTCTTAATCACAAATTGCCTCGAGACAAGATGAGACCAAAAGTCACTGGTCGACGTAAGCTCTCGCCTCTTGTAAGTAAACATGGCCTAACTAAACGTAAGTCAGAAGCTTTACCTAAGTCTAAGTCAGATGATATTACTAGTCAGTCGTCACCCGTTGTACTTGGTCGGCAGCTTAATCTGTCTGCACTTGACCACTGCAATGACTTTATGCTAAAGTTTGGCTCTTTGCTGACAATTCTTGGACATTTATTCGACGGAAACATCTCCGATATTCCCTCTGAGGAATGTAGGCGTCTCGACTCACTTGTTCACCTGATCGCCAGTGAATCTAGTGATAGACAGAAGCGTTCTTACAACTTCCTGCTAAAAAATGTTCCTCGATCTGCTCGGCCAATTGATGTTGCGACCAGTTTCCTGTATTCATGTGGTTTCAACTATAAAATAGCGGATGCCAAACGCTTGTCATCGCGTAGTACAAATCCACCCATCTTAGTCAAATTGTTTTCATCAATCGAGGTTGACACTATCTTTACCCATCGAGAGCGTGTCACTGCGTACGTAGAGAAGGCAAAATTTTTCCTTTGTCATGATCTTACTTCTATGGAGCGTAGAATGGGGTCTCTATTCTCACGTAAACCTACTGCTTCTCAGTCTAATGCTCCCCAACTCGGTCATAATACAAGTGGCCGTAAGGATTCAGCTTCTCAGTCTAATGCTCCCCAACTCGGTCATAATACAAGTGGCCGTAAGGATTCAGCTTCTCCTACTCCTGCGACATCTGACTCCCTCCTTCCTCTTTCTCCTACATCTCCATCTCACTCAAGCCACTTGACGCATTTGCCTGCCCCTAAACTTGCAGCAGCAGCAGCAGCAGCAGCCCCATTTGTCGTTTCGTATCCTCCGGATAGTCCCGCTGAGACACATGAAAATCCGTCTACATCAGTTAGACCAATAACTTCTATTGTCCAACTGGGTGCTGTAAGGTCTACAGCTAAGTCACCTGTGGCTTGGCGTCAGAACGGTGAGACTCGAAAATTGAATCAGACTCCGACCCAAAAGAAAGGTTGTACAGTTCCATTTGGAGGTACTACGCCTTCTCTTAGATCTAACAAGTCTGCTCAGCCCAGCACGTCTACAAATCCCGCAGCTCCAATTATATCCTCGAATAATTCTCTGTCCTGCGTACCGGTTACTTATCAAAGCCCTACTATATATCCAGCAACTAATTCATACATGAATTGCCCTAAATCATTTATGCCCCAACCTAGTTCAGGCTTCCCACCACTTAAGGCCAATTGCTCTCAGGTACGTCAACCTATCTCCTTTGACTTCCAATCTAGACCTGGTTTCCCACTATTTCATTCTTTTAGTGGCCTACCCTCACCCATTAGCCCCTACTTTCCTTCTAGCCTCCCTCCTCCTCCTCC